GTCACTGCCTTATTTACTCTCTGCCTCATCTCCGGCCGATTGCCGCTACTTTGAAGTGGTGACTAGGCTTGCATATCACTATGGTGCAACGAGCTATGCTCTTGGAAATGCTTGCTCCTTACGTTCGCGCCATCCCAGGAAGGTCTGTTGGGTAGTAGTAAGAACGTATGCAGTTACCGTTGTAGTGTAAATAGCCACTGTATTACGGGACTTCGAGGGCGAAGTCGTACTGCTGGCTCGTCAGAGCTGACAGCCATTAGGTGTTTCCTTTCGACGGCCGGTAGTCAATGCCGATGGTGGTTTTCCCTCTAGAAGGTAAAGGTTAGACGACTTCTGACCCAAAACTCCTTCATGACCTGCGAGATTCTGGTACCCGCAGGAATGAGTTATGATTCTAGACTGACATGTAACGCATGAGTTTACATCTGATCAGGTGTCGGATAGAGTTCTTACATCTATACTCTAGTTGATCATTGTTGTTCTATAACTTCGACAAACACAATCCTATTGCCTGTCACTGAAGTGCAACTGAGTATATGCTACTAGGTTTATGGTAGTTTAAATACAAGTATCTAATATTGTGACAGCTAGTGAACATATTACATATTATACTTAAAATCCCTGTTGTCTCTGTAACAGTCTCGGCTACTAGTCTAAGTGAATGCTTAGTGCAAACTATTTACTTCATAATTTTATTCTTGAGACAACATAGTTTTATAGCTAAATTCAAGATAATCAAACCTAAATGAGGGAATTTCAAAACGAGCATGTTTGACCGGCCTAAAGAAAGTATTCCTTGAGCTCCGTGATCATCCACTTTAGTGATTATCCCATTTATTCTCCAGGTTCCTCAAGAAAGATAAACTACCGCATTGTTGGAAATAGTAAAGTATTAATCGCCTTAATAGACTGTCATCACTGAAGTCACTTTAGATCACCAGAAACTATCCATGTAGTCATCTTCCATTCCTCTCCCCTTCTTCTCTTTTATGAATCCTATATCGTTTATAGTTTGTGCCGACCGACAGCTGCCACATTAATATGGTGGTCGTGCTTCGATATCATAATGCCAGAAAGGTCTGTTAGATAGTGCTTAGACAAGAAGCAGTTACCGCGTAGTGTAAATTACTACATTATGATGAGAGCCTGGGGGTAAAGTCGCACTGATGAGTAGGTTCACTGTGACAGCAGTGAGGTGTTCCCCTTGGATGACCAGCAGTGTCACCCTGATACTGCCTTCTCTATGGAAATGGGGGGGGTATAAAAGGTCAGCCCCAAAAAGTACACACTATATCCAGCCACATAGTCTTCCGTTAACGGCGGTATGTTTGAGGGTCAGATTAAAAAAAAATGAGTGATGGGAAAGTAAATCACTCTGTCGAATGTGATGCTTTCGATTACCCGTGGGTGTGGTACAGCCTACGCCCAGGTAACAGGCGAGTTTTGACCGTCCCCCATTCTTACTTAATTTTGGTATAAACGTCTTTGCAAAGGACGCATCTACGCTTTACTCGTATGGAAGGCTACTAGAACAGTGTGCGGAACACTTCGAGGAACAGCGAAACTGGCCTCCACTTGGTATTCGTTTGCCTTACCTCAATATTCACATGGCAATTCCACAAAATGCCAGCAATGCTACGAAGATACTTATCATCTTTCAACGGCCGTAACTTACAGCCGTATTACAGAACAGAACAAACTGGCGCAGCATACACGTCCTTTCATAGATTATTGGATATCTCACCAGTCGGAGCCAGAGGTATCGCCAGTTGGCAAACACCAAATAGGTCTTCTCCATCCGAGTTGATGCAACTCCCGAAGTAAGTGAACTGGTCAGCACATTCTACCACTTCACTCCGTATTATTAAACTGGGAGTGGTTGCAGATCAGTTCTGAAGCATCGTCTTACATTTACCATGTGCCAAATGCAAACCCGGCGTACTTAGATTTCTGCTAAATGCGTTCACAAGACCCTGTATTTTGTCTGCTTCTTCACCTAGTAGGACAATATTGTCTGAATACTCGAAGTCAGCCAGATGACTTCCAGGGAGTAGATCAGTCCCCATGAAGTTACACGTACCTAAGGTTATGTCCTTCAGTACGTCTATGATGAAGTTAAAAAGGAACGGTGACAATGGACATCCCTGGCAAACACCATCACTTGTCGTTGATTTATGTGACAGCTCTCCACAAACCCTTACACAGCCCCTTGAGTTTGAGTAGAGCGCTTTGATTAGCGTTATATATTTGCTTGGCGCTTGCTTCGCAGTCAGATTCTGCCACGACATCTCACAGTCAACAGAGTCAAACGTCTGTGTTCCGGGACTTGTAGGGTAAAAATATTTTCGATGCACCCTCGTCCCGGTTTGAAACCTGCCTGGTTTTCTCCAGCTTTTTGTTCTCGAGCTCCATTTAGACGCCAGCTAACTATAGACCCGAAGATCTTGAACACGATATTAGTCAAAATAATTCTTCTATGGTTGTCACAAGAAGGCCTCTCTCTTGTTTCTTTCAGGCTATGCTGATCAGAGAAGTACACCAGTCTCGCAGCACTGTCTCATTCCCGTACGCTAACTAGTTCCTCCGTTACTCTAATCAGCAATTTACTACCTCTACCTTTTTAAAGTTTCAAGCGGCAAACCGCCAGGCCCTGTTTCTTTCCCCCGTTTCAGGTTAAAAATAGCCTTTTCAACTTCGACGAGGGTTTAAGGACCAACATTTACGTCCGATTCAGATTCAGACTAGATGTTGTGCAACTGAAGCGTTGCTATGGGCTAGTTGAACTGTGCTTCTATCAACGTTTCCTGGCAGGTTATCAGCGTCCTATCCTTTTCAGTGATGGTTTCACTCACCGTCGTTTCCTTCTTGCCGGTATCCTTAATAAGCCACCACTGATGCCTTTTCCATCTCTCTCGCTTTTGTCACCCATCGCTCCTCGTGATGGACGTGAAGACACTTGGTCAACTGACGTTTAAGTTGCTTTCGCTCTTCATTGTGGTCAGAGCCAGCTAGAATCAGTCTTCCCGCATCAGTCAGTTCTGATGACATCGCGAGATCTAATGACGTTTGCTAACCTTCGGGTGTGGGTTACCAACTGTGCTTCTCGCTGTTTCTGCAGTAGACTGCATTTGATACTAAGTTCCTGAGGATGGTCATTGCTGTCACGTTCAGATAAATGCTTGGCTATCTCCTTGCTAAATGCATACTTCATGTTCTCTTCTTCCAATCGAGCAAAAACATGCTTCACTGCTATCAGTAAGACACAAACGAGGCCGTACTAGTTTGTAATCAGAGTCTAAACTGGTACTCCAGAAACAGCGGTAATCTTCCGCGATCCTCTCCAACGATGATTTGTAGCAATAGATGTACCTATGTCCATTGTTGGTTTGATTTCGGCGGACGCCATGTGAAAGTGTCTCTTCTTATGCCTATAGTTGACGCTGGCTAGAAACAAGTGATTGTTGGAGCAAACTGCAACAGATGGTCACCATCATCGGTTTGTTGGCATGCGATTCCGTAAATACCTCGAAGATGCCTTCCCAATTGGCTCAGCTCCTCTACGTGGATGTTAAAGTAGTCACCTGCCATTATGACTACATCTAAACGTTTAGCTTTCTGTAGCAAAGCTGACAGTTTTCGCATAGAATTAATTCTTTGCATCATCCGAACTTCGGTCTGTTGGTGCATAGGTGAGGATTACGAATCCAGCATCCCCTAGTCTCACAATCCTTCCTAGTTCTTACAGATCCGTTCGGTCGAACGGTATATAGATGGCTGCTGATGGATATTTAGTCGAAAAGCCCACTTTCTACCCTACTACTTAGTGCTATACCTACATCAGCTAGTCCTGGAGAGCTAGCCATTGGGTCTCCAGATACTTTCAAGGTGAATTTGAAGATTCACTAGTATGTCCAGGTGAGGTCAACTTAATAGCCTCACTCAGGTCTTGTGTACGTTTTTCAGACATGCGGCATACATCTATGGCTAGAGATTCGAGAGTTTTGGTGAGCGATACCTGCTGTCTGATTCGGCATAGTGGTCAGACATTTTTAAGCTCCAATATGAAACCAACAGAGGGTCTTAGGAGACTAGGAATAAGATTTCGATGGCCTTAATCGTTGGCAATGGTTGTAGAGTGAGTGGTTGTATAGGGCTCAGGAGACTTAATATTAGTATCAGGAGGTGAAGAAAAAGATGGAAACAGAACTGAGGAGCATAGCCTATGTTTCTTCGGGTCTTGTGTACTCATGGGAGCTTGCAGACGGTTGACACTACCCGACTGCACATACAGTGGAAGGTCATTTCTTCTTCTGAAAGAAAATAGATTTGTGTGACCGCAGAGCCTATGGGACATCTGCTTGATGTCGAGCACATATGGCCTTTTTGAAACGTATTGAATATGATTTATCTTTTTCGAATCTGACCCTGAAACATACCACCGTTACCGCAAGATCGTGTGGCTGGATGGCCGAGCTTTTATAACCCACCCCCATTCCGATAGAGAAGGCAACATCAGCGTGACACTGCTGGTCATCCAAGGGAAACACTTTAGTGCTGTCACACTGCCATCCAGTCAATAGTACGACGTCACCCTCGGTCACGCATCATAGTATGTTATTTTACATTATACCGCGATAACTGCTTTACGTCTGACTGCTATTTGACGGACGTTTTTGACATAGTAGGATCTCAAGGGTACAATGATTCCACCAGGACAGCTCGTTGGATCATTGCCTAGTTATCACGTCAAAATAGCAACTATCAGTTAGGTGACATGATTACTGATCAAGTTAACTGAAATGTTAGGTAGCGTATGGGAGTTAGGTTTGATCTATCAGACTGGTCTGAATCACTGATTGTCTCAATCTCCAAGGTTAGTGAGAAATTCTCTTGTGATTACCGTAGTGGAATCAGTCCGATGAACATAGTAGCAAATTTCCGTGTTTTATAATTATCAGGCATCTATGCGAAACTTGGGAACAGCGAACCTGAGAGAACTAGGCAGTTTTTAGACCTGCCCGAAGATGTATGAACCAGGTATTCACTATCCACTAGATTCTTGAACACAGGCACATTTGCGGACACCCTAAGCTACCTGTATTTTTCGACCTGAAGGTGGCATTTGACTGTAGATAGGGGATGCCGAGTAAATGCATCGCCCCGTTGAAAGCTCTGTACTCCTGCTATAATGAGCGTCTTAAGACTTGTGCTGGGGTATCAGGTGATGGTGGTGTCCGTCAAGGATCTTCACTCTCTCCCTTTCTGTTCAACTTTATCACAGATGTACTTGTAGAGGTCCATCTCTTGTCGTCTGACTTAACAAGGATTGATCTTGTCACAAAAAGCACCTTAGTAAATCTTGAACACGCAGTTGACATAGTCCTGTTAAGTGTAGATAATAACAAAATGCAGCGTTCTGAACACCTTGATTGGCTATTGGAGGATATTTAGGATACGTTTTTTCACTGTACACAGCAAATTGCTGCTCCCGGACTGGTCTTCGCTGGTGCCAATAAAAAATAAAGCGGCTTAAAGCGTTAATCATTCACCTTACGTAAGAATTCCTGTCAGCTTCAGTAAGTCAGTGACCGATGACATCTTTGAATCAATACGAAATCGCTGCTTGGCTCTCACCAACATACCCTATTTCAGATGACTCCGTGATATCCAACTGCTCATTAGAGGCCGAGTGCACTGAGCGGCTGTCTGGTCAGTTCTATATGGTTGTGAAACACAGTCATTAGAAGTGAAGGATATGAGAAGACCTCAGGTGTTTGATCACCGTTGCTTTCCTAGCATAAATCGCGTTTTTTAGTGTCACCACGTGAGTGAGGTAGAAGTCAGGTGTAGAATTTTGAGGAGAGGAAGACTAGGTTGCAAGCCTTCCTCGACTCAGGCGATTATGACATGTGTTACACTTGCCTAGTCACCATCTGCCTCGACGCACAATGTCAGCTGAAGTAGGTTCAGGTCGGACAGTGATCACCGATGGCCTGACTGAAACCTGACAATTGTATGAAGTCTTTGTTTGTTGGTCTGAGTCATGTAGAAGAATGCAGACTTCCTGATTTGGTGTGCCCGACCTGATTCAAAATCTATTCTCATGGTGCAGATGTATCCACACATTATCCTCATTTTCATCGTCATACTGAATTCAGTATTTTATTGTTCCCCCTTATTGTGTTATCACGACTTCTTATCATTTTGACTGTTTTCTCCTCCACTTCTTTGTTTTTCATCTTGTTTCTTTCTCGCTTAATATGCTGATATGAGGTGTAGCAACTGGAATTGCCACGCATTAATGCCTGGTTCTATGCTGATATTGTCTATGCGTCTCCATCTGGTCCACATTCATGTGTGGTTTAATCTATAGGAACTTGACTTTCAACTGTTTGATCACTGGTCACTACTCCAACGCGTTTTCCGAGTGATAACATCGTTCCCACTTGTTCTTTTTACGCTACTGTGAAATGTAGCAACTTGATTCGATGCACTTTTTTGCGAAGTTAAACCTTGATTTTATCTATTTGTCTTAGTTACGTAATTTATTGCCTGGTAAAAATGTTTTCCGGTGGTTATATTGTATGTTTATGTGCAACAATATTGCTTTTATGTTGTTTTGTTATGCCTTTGACATATATATAAAGTAAAACTTTTTTCTTCAAAATCAAACTTTTAGTATAATTGGTGTTATCGTCATTATACTTGAAGCACCAATATGTTGTTCTATGGTTCCACAATTACACAAAGTTAATGAGTTTATTGAGAAACGCTCGCCTATTGAAAAGTCAGTTTTCTATGGAATGTAAGCAAATTTTTGAATTATTCAATGCGTTTACTTTTAGTGCAGCCATTTTGCCATTGAGTTTATGTTTTGGAGTTTCTACACTGTTTTGTGGATTAGCATTAGCTGGATGTTGTGCAATAATATTTGGAAAATTATCAAAGAAAGGTAAGTTCAATTTTTCATTCTTGCGATTGTATTTCGTATCCCATATCATTGTTGAATGGTGTTTGAAATTGCTCAGTCGCAAACTCGAGCCCAACCTCTACTCCAGTGACGGAGTAGGAGACGGGAATAACGAATTACAAAGCTCACACAAATAATCAGTTACACGATGGTTGAGACATTTTATAATAGTTAACCATTGAGAACGAGTGTGTTCATAGACTTGCGTCAACATGACAATGTATTTTATTTGATACGTGGTACCTCACTAGTCCACGTGAATGACTATAAGACAGTGTTATCTGCATTCTCAGGGTTGTAAGGCTTTCTCGAAGCAGCAGATCAACTTGGAGATCTTGTAATGAAAAGCGATTTCATTCAGTCAGATCCATTCGACTCCTCTTCTTATAATACAAGTCATTTTATCTTCATTCATCGACCTCCCTTCCACTTTTTTATTCATGCTTGTCTCACTAAACCTTAGGTACGTGTGACTTCATGGGACTGATCTACTCCCTGGAAGTCATCTGGCTGACTTCGAGTATTCAGACAATATTGTCCTACTAGGTGAAGAAGCAGACAAAATACAGGGTCTTGTGAACGCATTTAGCAGAAATCTAAGTACGCCGGGTTTGCATTTGGCACATGGTAAATGTAAGACGATGCTTCAGAACTGATCTGCAACCACTCCCAGTTTAATAATACGGAGTGAAGTGGTAGAATGTGCTGACCAGTTCACTTACTTCGGGAGTTGCATCAACTCGGATGGAGAAGACCTATTTGGTGTTTGCCAACTGGCGATACCTCTGGCTCCGACTGGTGAGATATCCAATAATCTATGAAAGGACGTGTATGCTGCGCCAGTTTGTTCTGTTCTGTTATACAGCTGTATAACATGTCCATAAAAAGATGTGGAGCAGTCTCAGGTACTATTTAATATCAGTTGGTACTTTAAGAATGTTTTAGTCTGAGTTGACGTTTATTGCTAAGCGATAAGTAGTTAAGCGAGATAGAACATATCTGTATCATCGGTAATTTTCTTAAGTTATCTGTACTTGACATCATTGTTAAAGATCCATGTGACTGCTGAGAATAGATGTGTAAGCGGAACTCCCTATCATAGTTTCACTGCACTGACAATCTTCAGGAAGCCTACTTGCTGCTGAAAATGCCTTTGTTAGTAGTGGCCATGTCTAGTTTTCTACCTTGATTAATTTAAGTTGTAGTTTTTCAGATCTGTTTATGACGTAATGTGATAAAGACTAAATCCCCCTTATCTCTAAAGCAGCATACTACTCGAGGTTTTAATTCTTTGACATAGAAATTCTAAAATTCGATGTGTGTTTGTGTGAAATGTTTCGTAGTAATTGAATTTATTACGCTCATCAAATATGCACTACTTTATCGATATTTCTTTGCATAGTTCAAATGTGATTTGTTAATAGTATGTTTCCCTTATTTACTTTTCTGCACAAATCTTTCCATTCAAGACGCAACAGGCAGGCAAATCCAGAAGGTGTAGTTTCTGAACATCAAGCTCCATATTCTGCAGGTGCGCCACAACCCCCAACGTTTCAAGGTGGATACGGTGATCAATCGGGATTTCGAGATCAACTGATTGAAAAAGCTACTATTGGCGCAGTAAAAGGTGTGGTTGGTGGTCCAGGTGGAGGTTATCCAGGAACAGGTTATTCTGGTACCTAAGTGTATTGTTTTCATTTGAATCGTCTGACAAATCTCTAAGTTTCTCTCTTCATACTTACTAGTTTACTGTTTCTTTATTTGTTTTTATGTTGTTTCCGCGAAAAATTAAGCTACTTCTACTACATATATTTGTATTATTAATGTCCATGACTTACATTCCGTGTAATCTCTTCTGCTGTCTAGTGTCCACCCCGTCGCATTTATTATAGTTTTCCTCTAGTTTTAAATCTCTTTTCGTGTTTCACATATTCTGCTTTTCGACCACTGCTTATCTAATACGCACACTTACTTTAAACTTATCGGTCTGTCCTTATCGTCAATGTCAATTACCTAATATTTTATCTGTAACTGTAACTGAAAGGGATAAAGATAATTTTGTCATGAACTAATATCATTCACAGAGCTTTTGAAGACCAGAGTTCACTGTACTGTTGTGTCCTCCTAACTTGAGTTTGTTTGGTTTTCACTGACTCTATATGAAAAGGGTCCGTTTTGCATACTCTTGAAGAGTGATAAAACTGTGTGTGTTCAGTGTAACTTGACTTCGGGTGGTTCCTTAACTTGATGTTGTATTTCTGTGATCATGACTATCTTTTAATCTTATGATGAAAATGTTTCCAAACAACCAGCAACAATTTTGTATTATTCGGTCTAACGATATTTAAAAAAAGGTTTTATCTGCATACAGCATTATCATCATTCCATTCCGAGAATTCCCTTTGTATATTTATTGATTTATGCTCTTCTCTCATTTGGTGTTTGTCTTCTCCTCTACATATGGTTTTTGCTTTTGAATTATCCAATTTTTATTGTGATCAGAAATATTACTATCCCTGATGAGGGTATTATGTTTAATGTGATACGGTTGTATCTCTTATTATGACAACCTTAAATAAAAGCAAAATTTTCCACTCAGTTGTTTAACATGTTTTTATATATCGTCAGACAAATAGTCGTGTTGGCCCACCGTTTTTCTTTGACAGTGTTACCACTCAGAATCGTTTTTCATAGACAAAAGTTCTAATTTCATTCTAGTGACCTCAGTGAAAGTATTTACTGATCATTATCAATGTTCTATATTTAGCATGTGTGTATGCCTTTAACTGGGACAAAGAAATGACTACAGCTGTTTATTTGTACGCGTTGGAAGTTGTATTTTCAAATCAGAAAATTGGGACAAGATATGTGAGTGAACAATATTGTTTTCATTTGAATCTTCTTCAGGATTTACTCTAATATAAATCGGTAAATATAGATAAGAACTAAACCGATCATATAGATTTGTCGGTCAATGATGTCTTAAAATAGTGATGGTATTACGCAACTATTTTTTCCCCAAGCTTTTAAAACACTGGTTTTTGGATTGTCTGCATTATCATGCCGTTTTCTCGGTTCTTATCATCTTTATTCTAACTGCTTTAATCAACACTGTTATTATAACTGGCAATTTTATTTTTATCATTATCACTATTGTTAATTCCAAACAATTATCACATTAAATTTTGAGGGGGTTGTGGAGATTTGGAATTATTTCAAGTTGTTATTCATCGTAGACTGACATCAGTTGGAGGAACAAAGGAAACCTGGGAGCACTGGACAGCTGTTTCGTCCTAGTATGGGACTCCTCAGCAGTGAGCACCCACGACCCCACTAGCAGGGGTCGAACCCGCGACCTTCAGGTTCCGTGGCCAGTGCGTTACCATTGAGCCACTGGGTCAGAATCCAATGCTCCATATTTCCAACTTCTGTTAGCTCACGATATATAGCGCAACCGCCACCAATGACAAGTCGTGACCGGTGGAGTCAAAGCCTGATGGCCATGAGGACAAATACTCAGAGATGACATTGGGTGGCGGTTGCGCTATATATCGTGAGCTAACAGAAGTTGGAAATATGGAGCATTGGATTCTGACCCAGTGGCTCAATGGTAACGCACTGGCCACGGAACCTGAAGGTCGCGGGTTCGACCCCTGCTAGTGGGGTCATGGGTGTTCACTGCTGAGGAGTCCCATACTAGGACGAAACAGCTGTCCAGTGCTCCCAGGTTTCCTTTGTTCCTCCAACTGATGTCAGTCTACGATGAATAACAACTTGAAATTATCACAACCGACAAAACTACATGATTGATTTAAATTTTTGTGTTTACGTAATGGCAAGTAATTCCCCCAAATCAACGAAATTCACTATTGATGCTGATGTTCAAAGTTCCAACGGACTTGCTAGACTGAAGACACACGGTCAAGCAACCACGCCTTTTGGCACGTTGCATTACGTTGCGTTGCTCGTACGCGATCCTCTAACCAGTTAGTCGGAGCTCATCGGTATTTTGGCACGCGTTATCAGATATACTGTTCCATCTGGGTATCCTGTTATGCTCTTCCTTGGTCTCACACTCGTGGGCATATAACCATTACGAATAATTAGTGACTGAATTTTGCATCTGTCAAGTTCGCGTATAACCCATTCCTAAATATATTTAGCTATTTATATTAGAGTAAAGCCTGAAGAGGATCTAGTTGAAAACAATATTGTTCGCTCATATGTTTCGTTCTAATTTACATAACAGGAGCTTTCAAATCAGTAAATATTTTCATTTTGTTTCTGATTTCGCTGTTTTAAAATGGCATAGAATATAGGGAAGTCAGAGACTTCAATAAACTTAGAATAAGTACTCTATCAAAAGCAGATTCCAAAAACATCAGCAGAAGTTAAGAAACTAGAAGACAAACTTGATAGAAATGGGGCACAAAATTGACTTTGACGGTACCAAGGCTCTACAAAACGGTTTTGTCTCACACCAAGAAAGATTGACAGCTGAGACCCTACATATATGGTCAAATCTGTGTAACCTGAACAGAGGATGGAGCACAGGTAGCTGCCTTTCAGGAATTACTTATTAATGGGCGGAAGGAACGATTCTTGCATACACCCTCAGCATCAGTCTCATCTTCATTATCTCTGCCTCAACATTAACACACAATCTGGATTGACCTGATTCATTAATATTATTCCCGACCGACAGCTGCTACCTTGACTTAGTGACCGAGTTTGTATATCTTAATGACGCAACGAGCTGTGCTGGTGGAAAGCTTGTTCGTTAGAGGTCCTACCATACCAGAAAGGCCTGTTGAATAATATCTAGGCCAGAAGCAGTTACCATTATAATGTAAATTGCTACGCTATGATGGGGGTCTTAGGAAGAAGTCATACTGGGCTTTGACAGCAGTTAGATGTTTCCCTTGGATGACCAGGACAACCATGCTGATGCTGCCATCTGTATATGTAGGGGAATCGGGAGAGGTCGACCTCCAAAATAACATACTCCGATCACGACGCGGCATCCCAATGCCTACGAAATAGGATCTGAGTCGGATTCGAAAACAAAATACCAAAACCTCAAATTTGAGAAAATACCCTGTCTGACAGACCTTAAGCAGATGTTCCTTGAGTTATGCAGTCACTCAATCACCCTTCTCTTTCGGATACCTCAAGAAAAGTAGCCTTCAACAGTTTGGGGAGCCGGGAAGTGTTAACCGCCGTCACAATTCTGTCAGCTTTCAAGCTCCCTCAGATCACTGCCAACCTTCTACATCCTCACTTAATCTTCTTTTATGTCTCAGTCAACTAGCCTACATCAACCTTAATTTCTCTTTGCTCTGCGTCTCTCGACAGTGATCTGAGTTCACAGGACAGCATCAGTGGTATCCTGAAACCGCACTCCAAGTCACACATTGGAGCTTTCAATGTCCGAACCCTCCATCAAGTTAGCCAAAACCCTAGCAACTCTAGTCATGGATGTGTGCTGTTTTTGTGAGACATGCATACAGAACTCAAGTGCGGTTGTTCACTTAACATCATCCGGTCAGTATGATGAATTCAAAAAACTCACCCAGTGAGTTTCTGGAGATTCGACGGCCAGTTCCCACTGTCTGCCAGGTGTAGGTTTATCATTTAGCACTAAGACTGAAAGCTCTCTGCCTGACTGAATGCAGGTTGTCAGTCGCCTGGAGGTGGGGAAAGGAAAAAATATGACGTAAAAAAATTCAGTAATAAGAAAGTTAATGGAATAAAAAAGATTTTAAGACAACCTTGATAATACGATAAAATCAGCATTACTAGGTTAGGCTTAGAGTAAGAACAAACTGCTTTTGCACACAATGGGGAGTTAAATTTGTTTATAGCCAGCACTCCAACGAAATCCAAATATACACCCCTGGCAGTTTCGATATAAAATTGTAAAAGCTGTTTTAATATCAATCCTGTGACCTTTATCAATGATATGTTTTACGGTGGATGATGATAGTTTTCTGCCACCTGTGCTTATCATTGTTTGTAAATCCAGCCGGCTTTGTAGCCATTTCGGCACATGTTCCCCTACTCTCACGTGCATGTCTCGATTAGTCCTCCCAACATGCATGTAAATTTACAAACCCAGTGGGACGTAAGGCAATCGTTTACACAGCGTTGAAGTATATGTTGCAACAGGTGTTTGATCTTATCAACTACGGTAAGCTTAGCTGCATAGTATGTTTTGCTGACAGCAGACATTAACCTTAGTTTTAATATTACGCTACTAGATTCTCCTCTATATGATAACGTGATGCAAACGCATTTCTTCGAGACAGAGTACAGACTAGGTTCCAATGCTGTCTGATTTTTGAAGCTATTTATGTACTTCCGTTTTCCTGTGGCGCTTCAGTTAGTATTTTGATGTCGTCATCCATTGAGTCTTCCGTAAATATGCGCTGGGTCCTTTTGAATAGGCAAGTTACCAAACCTCGCTTGTATTGAACAAAAGCTATGAAGAATTAAATACTG